TTTTTTTTTTTTTTTTTTTGACGTTCGGGTTCGAGCGTTCGGCCCGTCCCGAACGTCTTGACGCGTTCGGTCGTTCCGCCGAACGTTGAAAAAAAAAAAAAATCATCAAAAAACTCTGAAAAAAATATGTTATGAAAAAAAATAAATTAGACAAGATTTGTCTGAGCATTACGTACGAATTCCTCATCAAAAAACTCTGAAAAAAAATATGTTATGAAGAAAAATAAATTAGACAAGATTTGTCTGAGCATTACGTTCGAATTCCTTACCAAAAAATCTAAAAAACAATATATGTTATACAAAAGAATAAACTAAACAACATTTGACTCAACGTTACATCCAATTTTTTTACCAAATTTGAAATAAAAATCAAATACTGAAAATAAATAATAATAATAATAAAAATAAAAAAAAATAAAACGAGAATGAAATTATTGACTGGGCGAGCACGTTTTGGACACCGCCATCTTTGGTGATTTTTCATTTTTGTTTTCCTGTAGCAAATGCCATGAAAATTTATATATGTGTATCTTACATAATAGAGAATGTACAAATAAAGTTTGAAAAAAAATAATTTTTTTCACGCCCAAAAATAAAGAAAAATCAAAAAGTGAAAAGAGGGAAAACAAATTAGCGAGTAGGCAAACAAGTTTTGACACCACTATCTTTGCCGATATTTCATGTTTTTTGGGCTAAACAGAATAACTTCAAAATTAAGAGGGAAATACCTTATATCACAAAGAACTCATATAAAATTTCTCAGAAAAACTTAATAATATTTAAGGGCCAAAATATTTTTTTGCGGGGTCCGAACCCCTTCAGGTTCGGACCCTCTACGGGGATCCGAACGCCCTAACGTTCGGGGGTCAGCTTAGGGTCCTCCGTACGTTCGGCCTGACAACCCTATATATACAATTGAGGTAATTGGTATTCGAAACGGGCTGAACCCCCTAACGTATGAGACCCCTTGGGGATGCATTCGGTTGTTAAGGCCGAACACGGGAAAAAAAAAAAAATCAAAAAAAAAAAAAAAAATCAAAAAAAAAAAAAATTGTGAAAAAAATAAAATAAACAACATTTGTTTGAGCATTACATCCAAATTATTTACCATATGTGAAATAAAAATGAAATACATAAAATAAACCTAAAAAATAAGAAAAAATAAAAAGAGAATTGAAATTAGTGAGAGAGCAAGCACGTTTTCGACACCGCCATCTTTGGTGATTTTTCATTTTTCTTTGGCACATTGAAATCCCAGACAATTTACAAATGTGTACTTTACAAGATACAAAAATCATTAAAAACGTTTCAAAAAATATGAAAAGTGAAAACAAAAAATAAAAAGTGAAAGAAAACAAAATACTGGAGGACGAGCACGTTTTAACACCGCTATTTATAGAGATTTTTAATACTTGTTTGGCTTAGCAACATGACTTCAAACCTTAGAGGCATATATCTCACGTCATAGAGAATTAAAAAAAAAAAAAAAAAAAAAAAAAACCTTATTTTTTTGACCCCGAAATCATTTTTAGCGCGGGACGAACGCCATGGGGGTTTGGACCCCGAACGCCCGTGCGTACGGAGGTCGGCCTAGGAACCTTCGTATGTACGGGTTGGTGCCTTTGTACATAATAATTCTTCCAACGAGTGGTTTCAAGTCATTCTGGTAATCTAGGTATATGTAAATTTTTCACATCATTACACTACGAATTACATAACTATATTCGTGCAGTCAGGGTTGCCAGGCCGAACCTACGGAGACCCCTAAGCTGACCCCCGAACGTTCGGGTGTTCGGGTTCCCGTACGGGGCCCGAACTTGAAAGGGTTCGGAACCCGCAAAAAATTAATGTGATACACAGGGTTGGCGGCGTTCGGGACAGGCCGAACACCCGAACCCGAACGCCCGAACGTTTAG